GTGCTATTAGGCTGTTTCTTCAGGGACAGCTGATTTCAGTCGGTGAATTATATACTTATGATTCTGGTGATCTGGTTTAGTGGCTGGGTAGCGCCTTCTTCTCAAGAAGGTTGGGTTTTTAAGACACTAATTTTGGAAGTTTGCCTTCTTCCTGTCACATAATGGCCTGCTGGCAAAGAACTGCCCTTACCTCGACTGCTGACAGTTCAAATATTGTCCTTTCTGGATGAACAGGACACAAAGCAAAGTGACTTCTGAATTCTGCTAAGACAGAGTATGATGGTCTTTCAAAATTTCTGCTTCTGAAAATGGTTTGTCAGATATTCTATGTCTGTAGCCAAATTGAATGCCCCAATGGTGCTGAGAAATTTTAGGTGACTGTTCAGGCTACTATCTGTCTCTGTCTATTCTCAAAAGATTTCTGAAAGTTGCTTGAGTGAATTTCCCATTTGCTCAGGTATTATTATATCCTCTATCAGGCCTTTGATGGGGTTGAAGACTAATAGCTTCTCTTACAATCTTTTCATATCTTAGCTAGAACATACTAAGTACTAGATTTAGATTCTTTAGGAAAGGACAACTTTTGGAATAATCTCTAAAATGTACCATTTACCTATGTTCTAGACAGCTCTGGATTTTAGTATGTGTCTTTTGTTTGATGTAGTTCTCATTGGTTGTAGTTCCAGTTTGCTTAGGTAATTACCTGTTGTTTCTTCTGGACAATATTTAATAATCATTCCTATTGTATATAGTTTTGTGTGAGATTAGAACCTTCTTATTTAGACAAACAGGAGAGTTGTAGTGGGTGGCTGTTTGAGCCATGCCCTGAAGTACCACCCCCAGTGAGGTAACAGATAGCTGTTACACTTGCTTATGACCTTGAGGTACATGTCCCTAGGGCATGGCCACTGGGTGACCCTTAAGACCTGGGATGTAGGCACATTCTCACTTCTTCACAACCTTGTGGTTTTGGATGCTGGTACAGACCAGGGCAGAGTTCCCTAGAGAACCACGTTGGAACCATGCCTCACTCTTCCAGGATCCTGCAACAAATTCCTTTATTCTGTCTTATGAGTTAACTCCCAAATAAATTCCTTTGCTCATTAAGCAGACTCCATGGATTGCTAGTGATATAATCACATTACATTCAAATTTCCATTGAGAAACATCATGATCCTCCATTAGAATAGGATTATTTGAGTTTTCAATCATAAATATATACATAGCTGGCTCCCAATGTGGTCACAGTATCCACATATCCACTCACTGATCATTTAGTACCTCAGTTTCCAATTGTATAACAGCAATGGACAGAACTTGGTTACTAATATAATATCTACATTAATTCCTAGTCTATAGTATGAGAGGTATTTTTTAAAAGGAATTGATATTTTTAAAAGATTTATTTATTTATTTATTATATATACAATGTTCTGCCTGCATATATACCTATGTGCTAGAAGAGGGCACAGACCTCATTATACATGGCTGTGAACCAACATGTGGTTGCTGGGACTTAAACTCAGGACCTCTGGAAGAGCATCCAGTGCACTTAAACTCTGAGTCATCTCTCGAGCTGGTATGAGAAGCATTATAGAAGAGAAGACCAAATGGAATTCCTTTAGGTCTCTTGGGTTTATCGCAAGTTCAAATAGTAGAATCACCATAAATGTGTAGGGTTAAAGAGGAGGACTATGCCAGGCATGGTGGATAGTTGTTCAGTCTCTTGGAATATAGAACAGTACCTTGTGTGCTTCTCAGATTTTGGTAGAAAAGTATTTGATAGTAGTCATTAAGGGATCATGGATTTGGGGCTATATACTTTTAGACCAACCAAGCCAACAGGTTAGGCGCCCAGCCAAAATTTATTGCAAAAACAAGCTGATATAGAAGGGAAATCACAGGACTGTATCACAGATGAGTTGGCCCATATGTGGATGCAAGTTAAAAAAATGACCATGGCTGTATTTTAGCCATTCAGGGATGACCTTAAAAGATAACCATGAAAGTAAATTCTTCCATTTTGTCATTTGTTTTATGAAAAAAAGAAAATATTCTGAGGTTAAAAATACATAAAGATTTGTAAGGAACTAAAACACAATTGACTGGTTATAGAAGCCTGCTAATAGAAAAAAAATATGAAATTAGATACAAATTTTGTGAGGTATGGATGAAATTATAGAAGTCAATAAGATTGCAAAGATAGTTATATATTTCACATTGAAGTTCATTGGAGAATATGTCCCATAGAAAGGTCTGCAATCATGAGGTAAACAAAATAACTAGCCTATGAGAAATCAATGTCACAACAGTGCTGGCATAAAAGACACATGGAAAGAGAAGACATATGGTAGAAATGCAAGCTAGGCATGAACCCAATGGGAAGGACTCCCACTCACCAAGGTTGAGCTGCTGCTACAGGAGAATGTGTAACTTGCCAGCAAGAGACAAGCATTACTCAATATGATACTTAGAGTAAATAGCCAGCCACTTGGTAACAATACAGCAACCTTGGAATTTTTCTACTTAGAGAGGGATTCATTTAATAAGTGATTAATTTTCCTAAGAATAAACCTATATTCCAGAAATGATCTCAGCACAAGAATGTGTGATTTACTGTCACAAAACTGTTTATAATATTGTATCAAATTAATGTCACTTTGTAGTATAGTAGGTACTGAAGAAGATACCTGGCTATGGAGCCCATTTGTCATAACACATCTGCACTAGCTGAAAGGTACAGTGGAAGTGAGAGCTCAAAGATGATCCCTTACAGCATGCAGTACACACTATAAATTAAGAACTTTATATAGTGTTATGTGCCCAAAAGATAGAATGCATCGGATCTAGGCTCAAAGGATAAAGGTAAGAGTATCTTAGTTAGGGTTTCTATTGCTCTGAAGAAGACATCATGACCACGGCAACTCTTCTAAAAAAAAAAAACATTCAATTGGGCTAGCTTTCATTTTAAGAGGTTGAGTCCATTATCGTTATGGCGTGCTGTGGAATAATTCTCTTGTACACTGGTTTAATAACATGCTGATTGGCCAGTAGCAAGGCATGAAGTATAGATGGGATAAGCAGACAAGGAGAACTCTGGGAAGAGGAAGGCTGAGTGAGGAGACACCAGCCCGCCATCCAGAGAACAGCATGGAATGGCACACAGGTAAAGCCACAGAACATGTGGCGACATATAGATTAAAAGAAATGGGCTGAGTTTAAGTTTAAGAGCTAGTCAGTGGTATGCTTGAGCTAATGGCTGAGCAGTT